GGCCGGGGGGAGGGCGGCCGGAGCCCTGGGAGGAGGGCGGCGAGCCCCGGCCGGGGCTCGGCTCTCCCCCCGGCGGCCAGAACTCCAGGGGCAGGGCGGCGAGAGGGCGGCGAGCCCTGGCTGGGGGGGAGGGCAGCCAGAGCACCGGGGGGGAGGGCGGCGAGCCCGGCCGTGGCCCCGCTCTCCCCGGGGGCCAGAGCGCCGCGCCGCCCTCCTCCAGGTGCTGCCCCAAGCACAAGCTTGGTGGGCTGGTGCCTGGAGCCGGCCCTGATTGGAGGGCAGCCCGAGTGAGGCCTGTGTAGGGAAGTGCAGCACGTTTGCATGCGGAGGTTTCAAGGGGCTGGAGACTGACTACCCTGCTGTACTTCAACCTCATCCTCCAGCTCCCGGAGGAGCAGCAGCCTTCCACGCTCTGCTTTACCTCCTCCCCTCACAAGCACAGGGTGACAAGCCAGAGGCTTGTATAAAAGGAGAGTTAAATAAGGACGCTCAGACTTATATTTGTATGGATCAGCTCATGTTCTCTGAGACAAGACACAAAGCTCAGAATCATCCGTGTAGGATCCCAGGCAGTAAGGGCCATGCGGTACCCGTTCTTAGCAGAGCCTGCAAGAGTGAGATGGAGGAGCCAGGAAGTCCAATAAGATTCCCCTTGTCACATGGCATAGAACCATAGAATATCAGGGTTGGAAGGGACCTCAGGAGGTCATCTAGTCCAACCCCCTGCTCAAAGCAGGACCAATCCCCAATTAACTCATCCCAGCCAGGGCTTTGTCAAGCCTGACCTTAAAAACCTCTAAGGAAGGAGATTCCACCACCTCCCTAGGTAACACATTCCAGTGCTTCACCACCCTCCTAGTGAAAAAGTTTTTCCTAATATCCAACCTAAACTTCTCCAACTGCAACTTGAGACCATTACTCCTTGTTCTGTCATTAGGTACCACTGAGAACAGTCTAGATCCATCCTCTTTGGAACCCCCTTTCAGGTAGTTGAAAGCAGCTATCAAATCCCCCCTCATTCTTCTCTTCTGCAGACTAAACAATCCCAGTTCTCTCCGCCTCTCCTAATAAGTCGTGTGCTCCAGACCCCTGATAATTTTTGTTGCCCTCCGCTGGACTCTTTCCAATTTTTCCACATCCTTCTTGTAGTGTGGGGCCCCAAACTGGACACAGTACTCCAGATGAGGCCTCACCAATGTCGAATAGAGGGGAATGATCACATCCCTTGATCTGCTGGCAATGCCCCTACTTGTACAGCCCAGAATGCCGTTAGCCTTCTTGGCAACAAGGGCACACTGTTGACTCATATCCAGCTTCTCATCCACTGTGACCCCTACGTCCTTTTCTGCAGAACTGCTGCCTAGCCATTCAGTCCCTAGTCTGTAACAGTGCATGGGATTCTTCCGTCCTAAGTGCAGGACTCTGCACTTGTCCTTGTTGACATGACCAATAGCTGCTCCCCTCAGGAGAAAGGAGCTGGGTGAGTGGGGCACTGATGAAGCAAGGAAAGCAAACTCTTACCCTACCACAGGCCTGCACAACTTGTAAAGCGGCCATATTACTCCAAAGAAAACAGCTGAGGGCCGAAACCCCCCAAGTGCCACCCACCGCCCCCCCCAGCGCCACCCAGCTGCCCCCAGCACCACCCAAAACAACCCCCCCAGCACCACCCACCCGCCCCATGGAAACAACCCCCCCAGCGCCACTGAAACACACACCCCCCAGGGCCACCTGCCCCGCGGAAACAAACCCTCCTTCCCCTGTGCCGCCCCACCGAAACAGCAATATTGAACCTCGGTAATTTGTTATAGTGGGTCCTTAATGTAGTATAGTTAAGGTAAAGGAAAAATTTGTAATCAGTTGCTCTGTTGAATGAATGAGGTGTGAATGGGGAAGGCGGGGAAGGCAGGCACCTCCAGACAGCTGCAACCCGTGGAGAGGCATGGACGATGTAGTGAATCTGTGCCTATGGGGCTAACACTTCCTTCTGGGAATATCCTCCATGAGACGCAGGTAGGATGGAACCAGATAAAGGGGCACAGGGCTTTTACAAATGTCTACAGTTAAGCACCCCCAACCCCCTTTTTTATTTACTGCTAGAGCATGCACATGCCCTGAGAATGACTTTATATATAAAGCAAGTGTCTTCTGGGCTCTGTCCTTGGCGCTGTCTTGTTTCCTAGAACAGCAAAGAATCATTATGTGCCTGATCTTGCAGGGCGCTTTAAGCACATGCGTAGTCTCAAGGCAAGTTAAGCAAACGTGCAAGTCCTTGCAGCTTTCATAGCCACGAACCACGTTCCGAGGCTGAATTTCCCTTCACAATGAGGTGTGCAGATGATGAGTTTAAATATTGCAACTCTGGACCCAAGAGTCTGTTAAATGCAGACAAACATTAAATAAAATAGGAAAGGGGATGAAGCTTGGAGGCAGGTGTGTAGCCTACCAATTCCCACCCACACCACACTTTCCCCGGGGTCCCACTGGGACAGATACATGGACACGAACACTTAACTGAGTTGAAGACTCAAACCACTTTTAATCAGAAAATATTTATTTTATGTGCAACTCCCGCCATTCTTACAATTACTGCGTTTTAGTGCAGTACAATTTGTAATACCACTTCTACACAGAACATGACAGTATGTCATACAATGCAGACATAAAATGTCCAAGGGTGTTCAGAACGTTACTGTTCTTAAACCTTCAGCATAAATACCACATATTTAAATTGCATAGAAATAATTTAACACGTCAAAACAGAGCCCTAAAGAGTTTGCAGAAACGACAGCTAGTGACTGGAAGCCCCATTTTTATAAAGATTGCTTTTCTATGAAAGGAGAATAGCTGCTAGTCTGTTTCACCTAACCAAGCAAATGATTCTGTATCCCAGGGACATGTGCCTTGGCAACACATTTCACAACCCAGCAGGCATCCTGCACATGCCCCATGTGAAAGGCACAGCTCCACAGTACTCCCACCTTGAGCTGCTCAGAGGATCCCAGGGGAGGGGCTATTTGGAATGTGTATTAGATTAATCACAAGCCAACTCTTGAACCACTACTGCAGCATTATCCCTTCAGGTGATCAGGAAGATCTAAGGTGCTTAACAAAAAAACTACCTAGCCATTGAAGAGCTATACAGAGATGAATTAATAAATATATAAATAAGCCCAGGTTGTAATAACTCAGTGGAACGCGTGGAAGTTGAATGGAGCGCAGACTGGTCTATCAGACCTTCAAAAGAAGCGAGTTCATCCTGGCTCGTTATCCAGCCTCGGGCTCCCATTGTCTCTCACACTGGTTTCCCCTTGTACACACAGGTAGTTTCTGTTGTAGTTCCTTGTTCATGTCCTCTTCTCCCCTCACAGCTTGGTCGATTTACTGCAACAGTCAGACAACGGAACACAGGTTATAAATGACATGCGGAAAGAACTCACCGCGACTCACTTCTGCTCTTGCCTTTCCCCGCTCCAG